AAAAAAAAAAAAAAAAAAAAAAAAGAATAGGGCTCTTTCCTCTATGGTCCAGTGTACAATGGACCTCACAAAGACCGCCTGAATAGATACAGCGTCAGAGCGCAAGAAAAATTCTATTAACACTTTACAAAATAGAACGTCTAAGAAGTAGCTAGAGAGGAAAGAGAAAGGGGAAAAAAATCAATATGGATAAGTCCCGGTGCTTGGGGGAAGAAAACTTTTCACGATTGCAAAACACTTATTAATTCAGAGAAGCCATCAATGCGATGGAAATCTGGCAGAACAGCAAGAGCTGAAAGTGGAAGAATCCGAATATACAAAGACTGAATAGAATGAAAACCACGGCCTCACATACGGGGCTATTTCTCACGGTTCTATGTGAATTAAACAGAAGAGGCTTGTGTGAGCCTCCATCATAGGGATGTGAGGGATACGGGCAAGGTGGCTGGTATTCAGCCCCGGAGAGAGCAAACTGATAACTCTGTCCGTCTCTCTCTCTCTCTCTCTCTCTCTCACACACACACACACGTAGATTAGTTGGCTGTGCCGAGTTCAGCCTGCAGGCCAGGCCTCGTTCACGGAGGTAAAGAGTTAGGGGGCTGGACACAGGCGTTTCTCTGACTTCGGGGAGAAAACACCGCTAACCCTGGTGAAATGCTGCTTCAAAGGCGCTGGTATTTATTTTGTGTTGACAGTGCCCTCACCAGTCATACAGATTTCTTTGTACCAGAGGTGGGGGCCCACAGGCCTAGTGGTCCTGGGGGGTCTCCAGAGCGAGGGGGCAAGAAGGGGAGGAGCTGTCTGAACCTGAGCACACTTTGTCCCATGTCTTGGCACCTGCCCGGTCTGTCTGCGGAGAAGGAGCCTGTTCCAACCTTGAGATCTGCCTTCTAATAAAGTTAGGTATAAAAGTCAGGTGTAAAGGCAGGTATAAAACGCAGCCCTGGCATCCTCAGTGGTGTACCCTTGCAAACGACAAAGCAGGGCAAGTGACTTTAAGTGAGCTGGTTGGGGGTGCCCCCGTTGGTGTCCAACACCAGGAGGTCCTGAACCTGTAATCCTGACTATTGCAAGGCTCAGGCTACGTCGTGACCTCCTCAGAGGTGCCCCACGCACGCCCCGCGTCTGAGTCAGTAGTGGGAGCCACACTGTTAGTTTCCATGGCCCACGGGGCTTAGGCAGGGTGTCTCAAACCTCCTCCCTGTCAGAATCACTTGGAGCACTTGTTAAAACGCAGATCCCCTGGGCCTCGGCCCCAGGGTGTCTGATTCAGGAAGCAGCGTCTGCGTTTCTAACAAGCTCCTGGGCGACGCTGACGCAGCTGCTGGCCTAAGGACCCTACTTCCCATGTGCTGCTCTGAGGGGGCAGAAACAAGAGCAAAAGTTAAAGACACTGGACAGAGCTGCTTCTCCCTCTTTACATCCATTCAGTGCTCAATACATGAACCAAATTACTCTTCCAGAGGCAACCGAGACACGTCAGCGTGATGAACAGTTCTCCCCTGCTTTGTTCCCTGTCTCTCAGACACTTATACTCCAAGATCCTGAAAATGACAGCAGCAGAACCCATGACAGAAAAGATGACAAGAAGAGGGACTTCTTAGTGGCAACCAAGCTGCCCCTGCACCCAATGCAGGAAAAATTCAGATTCTAAAAAAGAAATTCAGATTCTGCTAGGATGACAGAAACTTCCCTTCCAACAAACTCCAGCTAATGGCTATATCATTCAGTCAGCTCAGTTGTGATTAGAAAATCTAATCAATTAACTTTACTTTTATGTGACATGTATTTATTAACTATACACTACTTGCAAAGCATCAGTGTAAGTTCCAAATAAGAGGCAAATTATATAGGTCCATAGTATATGGATTGCATTAATGACCCCATACCCCTTACCCTGTAATTTTGCAGTTCCTCTCCAAAAAGGCAGTCTATCTCCCCACCTTTGTATCTGGGCTTGACTTGTTATGGTCAATAAAAAAGGTGGAGAGAATGGTATGCCTGTTTTGGGCCCAGCCTCATGAGGGTCTGTGTGTTTCGGCTTGTTCTCTCTTGCACCTCTGCTGTCACCATGAGAAGGGCATGGCCAGGCTGGCCCGCTGGAGGATGAGAAACACGTGGAACAGGGCCAAGTCCCCTCAGTTGCCCCAACTGAGGCCAGCCTAGATGGGCGAACAGCTGGTCAACCCCAAAACATGCAAGTGAACCCAGCCAAGATCGGCAGAACCGCTCCCAGTGGACTTTCGACTGCAGACTCGTGAAATAAACAGCTATCATCTACCATTGAGGTTTTGTGGTTGTTTGTTACATGGCATTCTTGTGGAAACAGGTGACTCATACACGGTCCCTGCTCTCAAAAAAAAAAAAAAAGCTCTTAGTCTATAAGCAGATACAGAGTCTCAAATAATACTAGACAGTGAAGAAAGGCAAGAAGATGGGTGGAAGGAGGTGAAAGGCGGAATGCCAGCTGAGTATTAAACTATCGATTCCACCTTCTGAGCGGAATACAGGTACTAGGATGTGAAGGGACCGGCTCTAAATCTCCCCTCAGCAGCGAGGTTGGAGACCGAGACGCTGGAAGTGCCAAGAGAAATTGGCAACACGTTCCTCCCTAAATGAGCACCAGGAAAATCTGCAATCCTTAGCACTCAAGTCAGTGGGTGATGCCTCTCTAATCCTAATTCATTTAATGAACGAGCGAACCCTCTTTATAATGAGTCTAAAGATTTACTGTGAGCCCGACCTTCTTGCTGGGTGATTGTAGAAGTAGGCAGAAGATGTTGACCACATCCAGAGGTGAGACTTTAGCCATCTCATGGCAGACAGTGTGGCACAAAGCATGGGCAGGATCCAGGTTCCAATCCCAGCTCCATGAGGAGCTCACTGAGGGGAAGTCACCT